AATACGAACAACGGTTCGTTCAAATCGGTTCGGTTTCAAATCGATAGCATTAAAGCTGAGAGATTGTTCGCAAAGAAACAGAAAGACGGACAGTCAGACAGGCGGACATAATTACTGCGACAACTCGGCTGTTAATGCTGTGCTACAGGTCGGAGATGTCGCCATTTGTGCGTTACAAATTTCATGACAAATTTATAATACCTTTTCAAGAGTATAAATATAATCTTCAGTGATTCATAAGCTCATCTATACCCCACAAAAAAAGTCAATTTATTGAAGCACTTGGTCACCTTTTATGATCCTACTCTGCTTAGTAATGCAGGCAGGTCATTCGTTCGGGAATTAAATTAAGGCTTGTGGTACTCGAACTGTCTGATGAATGACAGTTGACTTATTCAAACATTTGTCACGTCTAAAACAACAGATTAAATTGTATTTTTGTGTTGTAAGCCAGAAATTATTCCTAAATTATCCGTTTTACAAGAGACATGGTCAGGGACGGAACCATTGTCACAGTTTGGGGTAAACCCACAACATCAACTTCATTGCGGCCGATTTCGTTTCTATTTTACACGCTGGAGACGATCTTTAATATCTTTTGTTTGGCATATCACATAACGGGATTTATGACTGTTGATATGAATATGCTTACGTGGGATAGGCATATCTTTCATTATATTTATCTAATGACCTTCTACGTTTTCATGGTGATTACACTCTTTCAAAGTATTAACATTTGTTCGGGCCACAATCCCACAATTTGCATGGAAATCATTAAATCTTGCTTTGCTTCGATTGGATTTACAATGATTTCCATATTAACCATGTGGGATGCGGAACGCGACTTTCACTTGATGTATACTGGCAAGGAGCCCGTGGAGGGTGTCTACGAGAAGGATAACCCCGTTCATCAGTTCGCTTTTTATTTGCTCTTTCAATCGATTGCCTCATTGGCTTGTGGCGTTCTCTATATGCTACATGCCACTATTTTAATTGATATCAAGATCACTGCTGCCCACCAGGGATTGACAGATGGCGCAAATTCGGTGTTTGTTCCCATTGATATCTACGTCCTGGGCGAATACGTTCAGACTAGGCTTGAGGATTACGAATGGTTTCATGCCTTTTGCTCAGATGAACGCATTGATATCTAGTTGTACCCTAGACTGCAAGGAAACATTAGCCCGGCTGAAAAAATTCTTTTCAAGTATGATACGCAATACACAGTCAATATAATATGTCAGATCTTTATATATACAAGTTTTTGTCCTTACCAATTGACTGACCAGCATGTTATCCGATCTCAGTTGACAGTTGTATTTAAATATAGAAAAGGTATTTCTTCACGGTGAATTAATTCTCAGATAAAAACCTAGCCCAAGCAATGCCAGATAATATATCTGAACTGTAAGAAATACTTCGTCTATTCCCGTGTCCCGAATAATACCATCTCGTTCTACGATTTGAAACTTGATTTGCGGTTTTTCAATTAATCTTTGAATATTTTATTAAATTTATTCCACATTGAAGGCCATTGGCACGTCAAGTGGACAACTTCTGGGGAGGAATGTGACAATCTGTTATCTGCCTTAACCATTAATTATTTTATTGAAAGGCTTTCTGAATATCCTTAAAACTTATTTGTTACACAGTCCATATGCTACTTAAAAGGTGATTTAATTAAAGTACCAAAAGGAAAGGTAAAGTTATTTTTTGACAATAGTCACAAGTAGCTTGTGGTACTCGAACTGTCTGATGAATGACAGTTGACTTATTCAAATATTTGTCACGTCTAAAACAACAGATTAAATTGAAATTTTGTGTTGTAAACTAGTTATTCCTAAATTATCCGTTTTACAAGAGACATGGACAGGGTCGAAGCCATTCTCACAGCTTGGAGTAAACCCACAACATCAACTACATTGCGGCCGATTTCGTTTCTATTTTACACGCTGGAGACGATCTTCAATATGTTTTGTTTGGCATATCATATAACGGGATTTATGGCTGTTGATATGCATATGCTGAATTGGGATAGGCATAACATTCAGTATATTTATCTAATAACCTTCTATGTTTTCATGGTGATTACACTCTTTCAAAGCATTAACATTTGTTCGGGCCACAATCCGACATTTTGCATGGAAATCTCTAAATCTTGCTTAGCTTCGATTGGATTTACAATGATATCTATATTAACCATGTGGGATGCGGAACGCGACGCCCACCTGATGTATACTGGCAAGGAGCCCGTGGAGGGTGTCTACGAGAACGATAAGCCCGTTCATCCGTTCGCTTTTTACTTGCTCTTTCAATCGATTGCCTCATTGGCTTGTGGCGTTCTCTATATGCTACATGCAACCATTTTAATTGATATCAAGATCACTGCTGCCCACCAGGGATTGACAGAGGGCGCAAATTTGGTGTATGTGCCTATTGATATCTACGTCCTGGGCGAATACGTTCAGACCAGGCTCGAGGATTACGAATGGTTTCATAACCTTTGCTCATATGAACGCATTGATATCTAGTTGCACCCTAGACTGCAAGGAAACATTAGTCAGGCTACAAATAAGCTTTTAAAATACGATACGCAATACACAGTCAATATAATATGTCAGATCTTTATATATACAAGTTTTTGTCCTTACCAATTGACTGACCAGCATGTTATCCGATCTCAGTTGACAGTTGTGTTTAAATATAGAAAAGGTATTTCTTCACGTTGAATTAATTCTGAGATAAAAACCTAGCCCAAGCAAGGCCAGATAATATATCTGAACTGTAAGAAATACTCCGTCTATTCCCGTGTCCCGAATAATACCATCTCGTTCTACGATTTGAAACTTTTGATTTGCGGTTTTTCAATTAATCTTTGATTATTTTATTAAATTTATTCCACATTGAAGGCCATTGGCACGTCAAGTGGACAACTTCTGGGGAGGAATGTGACAATCTGTTATTTGCTTTAACCATTAATTATTTTATTTAAAGGCTTTGTGAATATCCTTAAAACTTATTTGTTACACAGTCCATATGCTACTTAAAAGGTGATTTAATTAAAGTACCAAAAGGAAAGGTAAAGTTATTTTTTGACAATAGTCACAAATAGCTTGTGGTACTCAAACTGTCTGATGAATGACAGTTGACTTATTCAAACATTTGTCACGTCGAAAACAACAGATTAAATTGTAATTTCGTGTTTTAAGCCAGAAATTATTCCTAAATCATCCGTTTTACAAGAGTCATGGTTAGGGTCGGAACCATTGTCACAGATCGGAATATGCCCTTAAAGTCAACCACATTGCGGCCGATTTCGTTTCTATTTTACACGCTGGAGACGATCTTCAATATGTTTTGCTTGGCATATCACATAACGGGATTTATGGCTGTTGATATGCATATGCTGACGTGGGATAGGCAAATCAGTCAGTATATTTATCTAATGACCTTCTACGTTTTCATGGTGATCACACTCTTTCAAAGTATTAACATTTGTTCGGGCCATAATCCCACAATTTGCATGGAAATCTTTAAATCTAGCTTTGCTTCGATTGGATTTACAATGATTTCCATATTAACCATGTGGGATGCGGAACGCGACGCTCACTTGATGTATACTGGCAAAGAGCCCGTGGAGGGTGTCTACGAGAAGGATAAGCCCGTTCATCCGTTCGCTTTTTATTTGCTCTTTCAATCGATTGCCTCATTGGCTTGTGGCGTTCTCTATATGCTACATGCAACCATTTTAATTGATATCAAGATCACTGCTGCTTACCAGGTATTGACAAAGGGTGCAAAGTCTGCGCTTGTGCCCATTCATATCTACGTCCTGGGCGAATACGTTCAGACCAGGCTCGAGGATTACGAATGGTTTCATGAATTTTGCTCAAATGAACGCATTGATATCTAGTTGCACCCTAGACTGCAAGGAAACATGAGTCAGGCTACAAATAAGCTTTTAAAGTACGATACGCCATACACAGTCAATTGATTATATTTATTGCGTATCGTACATTAGAAGCCTATTTATATTGTCCTAACTAATTGACTTGCCAGCAGATGTTTGTTTAATGCACACCCCAAGCTGCAAACTACTTTACTCTAAACAACAGAAAATAAGTGAAAAGCGGTCGCATAAAACTTGTTGTATGCTATCCGATCGGTGTCAAGCTCCGGTTCACCGTTTTCGGAAAGTCCACGTCACTGAGTGGAAATTGTGCTAAGATTAGAATTATGTAATGCTTCACGGCGGAATATATGTTAATCAATAAAGTATATAATTCCAATTATTCTCTTAGATTTTATTAAAAGTGATTCCACATTAAAGCCTACTTGCACGCCAAGTGAGCAACCTCTGGAGAGGAATGAGACTATCTGTTATCTGCTTTAACCATGAATGATTTTATTAAAAGGATTTGTTAATATGCTTAAGACTCTGTTGTAAAACAGTCCACATGCTACTTAAAAGGTGATTACATTTAAGTACCTAAGGGAAAGGGGAAGTTATTTTTTGACAATAGTCACAAATAGCTTGTGGTACTCAAACTGTCTGATGAATGAATGACTTATTCAAACATATGTCACGTCGAAAACAACAGATTAAATTGTAATTTCATGTTTTAAGCCAGAAATTATTCCTAAATCATCCGTTTTACAAGAGACATGCTCAGGGTCGAACCATTGTCACTGGTCGGAATATGCCCTTAACGTCAGCTACATTGCGGCCGATTTCGTTTCTATTTTATACGCTGGAGACGATCTTCAATATGTTTTGTTTGGCATATCATATAACGGGATTTATGGCTGTTGATATGAATATGCTGACGTGGGATAGGCAAATCAGTCAGTATATTTATCTAATGACCTTCTACGTTTTCATGGTGATCACACTCTTTCAAAGCACTAGCATTTGTTCGGGCCACAATCCGACACTTCGCATGGAAATCTCCAAGTCTAGCTTAGCTTCGATTGGATTTATAATGATATCTATATTAACCATGTGGGATGCGGAACGCGACGCTCACTTGATGTATAGTGGCAAGGAGCCCGTGGAGGGTGTCTACGAGAACGATAAGCCCGTTCATCCGTTCGCTTTTTACTTGCTCTTTCAATCGATTGCCTCATTGGCTTGTGGCGTTCTCTATATGCTACATGCAACCATTTTAATTGATATCAAGATCACTGCTGCCCACCAGGGATTGACAGAGGGCTCAAATTCGGTGTTTGTGCCCATTGATATCTACGTCCTGGGCGATTACGTTCAGAGCAGATTTGAGAATTACGAATGGTTTCATAACTTTTGCTCAGATGAACGCATTGATATCTAGTTGCACCCTAGACTGCAAGGAAACATGAGTCAGGCTACAAATAAGCTTTTAAAATACGATACGCCATACACAGTCAATTGATTATATTTATTGCGTATCGTACATTAGAAGCCTATTTATATTGTCCTAACTAATTGACTTGCCAGCAGATGTTTGTTTAATGCACACACCAAGCTGCAAACTACTTTACTCTAAACAACGGAAAATTAGTGGAATGCGGTTGCATAAAACTCTGTCAATCTACGGTTCACCATCTTCTGAATATCCAAGTCGCTGAGCGGAAATTGTGCTAAGATTAGAATTATGTAATTCTTCATGGCGGAAGATATGTGAATCATTAAAGTATATAATTCCAATTATTCTCTTAGATTTTATTAAAAGTGATTCCACATTAAAGCCTACTTGCACGCCAAGTGAGCAACCTCTGGACAGGAATGTAACAATCTGCTTTATCTGCTTTAACCATGAATGATTTCATTGAAAGGCTTTGTGGAAAACCTAAAAACCTTTTTGTATACAAAATAGCTGCACGCACACAAAGCAAGGCAGCGGCCCCGCCCACTTGTTGGCAAAGGTATGACCAGAAAGGGCTTTAAATTTTGCACTTTTATGGCGGCGGAGGGGCTAGCAGCGGTTGTCATCCTGCAGCGGCATGTGTCCTGCCGTTGATATCGGCTTAACTTTGCCATAAAACTGTCAGCGTCACGCGTGTAGTGGGCACTGAGGATAGCACACGGGGCGAGCGGGCGGTCAAATGAAATAAATTTTACAGCCAAATGGGCAGACTTTTGCCAAACAAAAAGGCCAAATCGCACACATACACAGAAAGAGATTTGTGTGGCCAAATGTCAGAGGCAAATCTAATGCGGACAACAAAAGCACCTGTGACCTGGAAAATGTCTCGTGGTGGCCATTTCGCAGCTGGCCAGATTTAAGCCGAAAGCTGTTGACCACCAGCACTTAAAGCCTGTCATTCGTCTGGGCCAAGTGTAAATGTTTACGTTAAGTCACTTCAAATCCCCCGTCCGATGCTCATCAATTAAGTGTCATCAATCATCTGCGAGCAGTCCAAAAAGTGAATCGAAATAAGCGACAACAACTGCGATATGGACAGCTACGACGACGGGCAAACATGTCACGGTACAAAATGTCGTTTAACCTAAAATGCGAAAAACCACAAAGATTATTTATTTTAGTCTCAGACATCGATTAGACGTCATATGTTGTGTTCCCAGAAACGATAAGTTTTTACGTATCGTTGCATAGTTGCGAAAAATGTAAGAGATTAAAATTTCATGGCAAAGTTTATTTTATGGATATTAGTTAATTTTTAGTATAACTAAAATAATAATAAACCTACGAATTAAATATAATTCAAAAATGAATATAAGAATAATAAAACCTAATTACGTTATTGAATAGTTTTGAATCATAAATTTTGATGATTTTCAAGGCAGACCCAATCAATGCTTATGTCAACGTTTTGGGAGTATTAAGGATGTTTTAACTACTGGAAATGTCGTTTAACTCTCTCTTTTCCGTAAACACATAAGCACACATAAATATTTATTTGTTTACCAAATAGACACGATTTAGTTTTTAATGTAAACGCTTTATATTTCATGAACGACTCGATCAAGTTTTTAAAGTAAACGCTTGAAACTTTACAAGGCGATATACTATTGCAATCGCTTTGTGGAACACCCTTTTGAACATGATATTGAATGGGAGTGGGTCCATTTTCCGACAGTGTGCAAGCATTGTACACCTAAACACACAAAAATTGACCCTGTTTCACTTGGAGCAGATAATTTCAGATCAGTAAAATGGTGGTTGTAGGCGCAGCACCACCTTTTTTCGAGGGCATATCCATTTCAATCACTGCTCAGCATTTTGTTTTTTTTTTTTCCTAGCCAGTTGATGACCCACTCGAAGCTCTGTTCGTTGCCATAAAACTAAAGCGCTAAAGTTACGGGGTTTTTTTTTTTGGGGGGCAGTTGAAACTTTAGTTGGTTTATGGGCTCGTTGGAAAATTCAAATCAAGTGGAAATGCGAACACTTCACGAACGACTTGTAAGACAAAGCCATTAATGGCGCCTGGCGGTGGCCGGGTGAATCTTTATGCGACAATCTTCGCATTAGAAATCAATGTCGAGCGTTGCAGTTATGATTATTGCAGTTGTCAAAAGTTGTGCGTATATGTGTGGGTGTGTAGGTGGTTTGTCTCTAAGCATAATGGGCTGTCCTGCTTGTCCTGGTTAGCTGGCTAGGTTTATGCAAATGCGAAGCGCCTTAACGCTGGCAAACAGACGGCCAAGTAAATGTGGCCAAGGCTTGCTAAAAAATGCTTATGACTTGTGTAAACAATTTTCCATTCGCTAGTCCAGCGCCAAGCCCCGAGACGCTGTGCTCCTTTTACGTGTAGGTATGTCCCAACTGGGGCGAGCAGCAGCAGCGAGTGTATCCTGTAGCAGGATCTGCAGCTGGTGTATAAAAATATTTTATGGACAAAAGTAACTTTGTGTCTTGGACGATAAGCGAAGTTTGCGTATGTGACTTCCGTTTGTCCTTGCATGTCCTTTCGCACATGTGCTCTGTGTGTTCTGTGTGTCCTGTGTATCCTGTCTGCGCTGTTTGCCTTCGCACAATTTTTATGCATTTTCTTAGCGGCCATTTTTATGCCCGCACACGTTTTCCATTAGACGTCAACGGCTGTCATTTCCGCTTTCGCCTGTTTGATTTTCGCCAATAAATACTCAAAGGATATTTTCACAGCGACCCGCTGCCGCCGCCAGTTTAATTGAAACTGGGTCACTTCGGTGTCATCCATTAATCACACTCGCCTGACACTCGCTCAATTTGCATTCGCGTTTAAGACAATTATCATGTTCCAACAATTATTCTTTGTTAAGCGAAAGTTCTTCCTTTCCAATTTGAAACGGTGAAGACGGCATTAATCTTCATAAGGTTGACAACTTCATTAGAATAGACAAAAACAAACACGGTATTGATTTGCTCAACTGAGTTTAGCAAACCTGCCCCCACAGCTCCCCCTCTACGCCATCCATTCACCCCGGCCCTGCAGTGCTAATTAAAAATGTAACACACACAACTTAAACCGCTTGCAATTTATCAAAGGCATAAAACGAAGTAAGTTTTTTATGCCGCGGATATAATTTTTTAGCAAGGCGCTGAAGCGCGGCGCGTATAATGCGCATAATTTCTATGCCACGTTGGTCACCCGAAAAGTAAATGTAGACACTGCCAGCCATTTGGATGGGCGGAGTTAGCCGAGGAGGCAGCGGCCGACCTTTGTGCCAGCGGCAGCCACAACAACAAGGGGCACAAACATGGCGTCAGTTTTTTGGCAATGAGCGGGCCCGTGGCTTGCGAGTCTGGTTGTGGGCACACGAACAAAAGAGGTACACGCGAAAATAAAACCTATTACCGGAATCATAATTATCTTTTATGGCCGCGTCTGTCATGACGACATTATGGCCAGCACGGCACGGCCTGCTGCCCCGCCAGCCGTGATCCGCGCCAAACACGTAGCAATAAAAAACCGCGAAATGCGGCCAAGTAGCAAAAAAACATAAATTACACAAACACACACATACACCATTTCTGGAGAGGAGTGGCGAGGGGTTAGGCGACTACCCAATACAAATTATGTGTACTATTGCGCTTATTATACTCGCTCACAAAGTGAAGAGAGAATATTCCGATGGGCAACATAGTCGAACAGCTGCCATAATCTGCCAAATGGGCAGTCTTTTATAATTTATTTCTATAATATGCATTGCCCACATTTCCACTCGCATTTGAAACAAATATCACTTTCGGATGTGGACGAGTATGACCTAGTCGGGTGCATCCGACGGTAAGGCAGCATTTTAGCTTGTTTTCATTAGAGGAGCGTAGCATTTGTTATGGAAAAGGGGCCAGACATCTGCCGGCAGCGTCGCCAAAACAGGTGTTTTCTAATTTATTGAAACACCCCAGCAAAGACTGGACCCCGTCGTCGTTGTTGTTCCGGCTGTTGTTGTTGGGTTTGGCTTGAGTTATTAAAAGTGCGATGAGTTGGGTGGTGGGGGGCTGTATGGGCATTGTCAGCTCCTGTCTGCGGCGTGGCAGACAAATCAAAGTGCCCCCGCGACACTTGTCATGTGCTTTTTAATTTCTAATATTTCACGCGCATTATAAACCAGCCCCAGTCCCAGCTTGAGACCCTAGCCCCATACGCTGCAACTACTGCCTGTTAGGCGCAGGGCTGCTGGTGGGGGCGTGGGCGGATGGCGCAGCTATTGTTGTGCACTTGCTGCAAATTATGCGAGACACGTTTGCAGAGGGTCTGTTTTCATTTGCCGGCGAGGTGTGTGCCTGAGGTGCTGCCAAGCGACACACATACACATACACACACACACTAACAGTATAGTAGCAGCTGTGAGCGTGGGCTACGTGTGATAATTCAACGCGCCAGCAAAAGTTTTTCTCAAAATTGCCCAAGGCCAAGTGTGTGGCATGCTCCTTGCCTGGTTGCGCCTGTCTCCAACAAAAAGCGCAATGCACGTGCGGCCTTTGTTCCTGCTCCTGTTGTTCTCCTTGTTGTTGTTGTTGTTGTTGTTGTAATTGCCGCCGCTGCCTGTTGACAGGACACTTCAACTATTGTTGTTTGCGCTGCTCCACTACCTCTGCCCTAACCAGCTCCTCTCTGCCCTGTTTAATTCAGCATGAAATTGGTTTGTATTATTATTTTGCAGTCGTCGCTCGTCTCGTTGCCAGCGGCGCTTCGACAACACCTCAAAACTGAAAGCTGTCAGCTCCAGTGGCTTAAAGCTTTAAACGTGCCACAAATCGAAGTGCAACAAAAAAATAAAAATGATGTAAAAGAATTCTACAGCAAACTTTGCTTTGATGCTGAGCGCCGCTTTAATTAAAAACTGCGCGCACTGAGTAACTAGCACTTGATTAATTTTTGGTTGCACGCAAAAGTAACGCGA